ATTTGATCTCGTCATCTTCCAAGTCATTTCCTTTGATAGCACACGTGTAGGAGGTGATGTGTTCATTTGGATCGATCGTCCCGTTATATTTAGGAATCTCAGGCATACGGACTTCTTGGGGATTGGCTTCGGAGTTGCGCTTGGGGGGAAAGGTTTTTGTACAAACTTTTTGGAATCTAGACCTTTCAATATTGGTGGAGCCCCCGGGATCTGGTCGACCCTGGAATTATAGGTTTCTACCTTCTTGTCGTTTTCCTCGATCTTCTTTTCCCCTGTCTCAATTCGCTTTGTCAGTTCTTCGAGCATCTTAATGATAGAAGGGTTGATCTCCGATTCCTTCTCGCTCGACCTCTTCGAAGCCAATTCGACCCTATGTATGATTTCCTGGGATGGCTCGGGTTCGACCCTACTCGATGTGTGATTCTGATTTTGGAGCTGAGCTATTGCTGCTTGTTGGGCTTGCAACATTTCGAAGTTATCCGCAGGCTAATTTCACTGCCGTGTGCATTCTGAGTAGCTGATCGGGTACCCCCACAAACACTGCTTTCGGGATCAGTGGCCAAATTTCCATTGATGGTTACATGCGAGCTGACGTCGGTTGGATCTATAGCTGGAACGTTTCCTGGTGCAATGTTCTCATACTCGTCGTGGTAGCTGAGATCATTGTCAATGTGTTGAGGTGCTGACTGAGAGTTTGACATCTTTTAATCATGTAATCAAAGACACTTCAAAGAGCAAGCGTAAAATAGTGTGTGTTACGAAAGTTCGTACCAGGCAATCACTATTATCCTTAGCCCCACGGTGAGCGCCAAACTATTTACCCTTAAGATCGGATAACAATTAAACTTATAAGTGGCTTTAAGGATATGTGATTTCACTTGGCATAAACTGAGAAATATGAGAATGAATGTTAAAAATTAACTGTAAATAAAGCAAACCAATATAATGAGTGGTTATGGCTTTCGAGCTAGATCGCCCTCGAACCAACAGAGCACGCTAATAAAAAGTATGAACTGAAAAACAAAGCTTAAGAGAGAAAATGTAATGTATTGTTTTGTTATGCGTGAATATGATGATTACAAAATGATTAGAACCCTCTTTATATAGTAGAGGAATTCTACTTATGGTACAATTCTAAATACAGTAAGAAATCCATGATTGGCTAATTGTCCGGTCTTGACTTGATACGTGCCGAGATTTCCGCCACGATCCTTGCCCGATCACGGATATCTCGGCTTTCTGGTATTCGACTTTAGCATGCAACCTTCGATCTCGCTCGATCTCTATCTCGTTTCGGTCTCGATCACGGTTGGTCTCGTTCTTGATCGATTACCGATTAATGAACTTATAAACCCATCTCCGTGCCATGGTTTGATATAATGCAAGGCCGAACTTTGGTCTGCCGCCTTGGTTTCGATTAGCCACACAAAATTAGGGAAGCCCAATTTTGACCGATGTTATAGAATAGTTTGACATTTGTTTAAGACTCCCACTTCCCCTGATTCTTGGGAAAGTTGGAATTGATGAAGTAGGCATTTGGATATAAAAGTTACTCCTATAATTTTTGAATAAAATAGTATTTGAAGTTAAGTTGATTAATAGTATTTGGAATTTGAAATTATGTTTGGACATGCATTTCACTTGAAAAAATATTGCAGTTTTGTGAGTGGAATTTTTTTTTTCTTGAAAATTTTGAAAAAGTGGTCAAAACTAATTTTTTGTTTTGAAAACCTCATTACATAGACGAACATATTTTTGAAAAAAAGAAAGATTTTTTTTATGAACAAACGTGTCCGAAATGTGTGCAATTTTATAGATTCAAGGTCATCTTAGCAGTTCAATAGCTAGAAGTTAGGATTTCAAGCTTATGGGTTCGGAATTCTAATCATTTTAAGTTATTGAGTTATAAATTAATAATTTATACATATTTAATAAGTTTTTTAAAATAAATACATGGTTCGAACCAAAGCTACTGGATTCAGCCGAACTCATTCCCGGCACTCTAGCTCCGCCCCGGGTAATTGTGATAATACATAAGCACTTTCAGGAATTTCATTGTCATAGTTTTAATAGGATGTAGCTGTAGTGATATGCTCTCAGGTTCATGTTACTTGGTGCATTCTCTTGTAGAAACTTTTGAGTTCCTATCAATGAACATACAAGTTATCAAAAGAGCAACTAAGTTAAGAATTGTTATTAGAGATGCTAGTATATTAGTGAAAAATTAAAAATGCTAGTATATTTTAATTTGTAAATAAAAACTTGGATTTTTATGACATTTCTTGCAATATGGAAAACTTATCCAATTCCTTAGTAAAAGTTTCTTCCTATTACACGGTCAATGTATATAAGCTAGATTTTATTTAGTTGCTAAAATTTTATTGATTAGAATAACTATTACTTTATATAAGTTAAATATATTTTTTGTTTAATAAAAACGGTGATATGGCCGAAAGCTAAAACACGGTCTAATAACCAGTGTAGGAAATACCATAATCCCCGTACTAAAAGCAGGGGCATATGCATGAATTTTTGTAAGCAGTGTGAAAATTTATAGGAGAACGAGAATAAATAACTTTAATTATCATAGTTTTAGATTAAAAAAATAACTTTAATTTATTGGTATCGTTGAATCTTAAGTTAAAAGAGGCCCTCAATTCAATTTAATCACAATTTTAAAACCACAGAGGCTCTTTCAAATATTTGCAAAAAATACATGCTAGATGAGCACATCTATTAATATATATATTAATATATATATCTATTAATATATATATACATATATATACATCTATTATTGAAAAATAGTCACGGTTTTAAAAGTAATTGAAACATAGTCACTTTTTTATGTAAGGATAAAATCTGAAGAAAAACACTCTTAAAAATTCGATTTTTTTTTAGTATAATATGCTAGAGTTAGATTTTTTTTACATTTGAGATTCCATCATAATGTATTGGAGTTCCACCATAATATGCTGGAAGTTACACAGGAGCTCCATAATCCATCATATTATGTTGAAACTTTCCGTGTTTTAGCTAAAATAATGACTATTTTTTGATGACTTTGCAAACACTGCTTATTGTTTGATGGAATTTTTACCTCCTATAGCAAAGGTTAACACCTTATTTATTTTAAATAAATATCATTTTACAAAATTATATTCTATAGATACCTTTTAATGTTTATAGCAAAATATCTAATTTTGGTTACCTCCTAACCCTAAGCCACTAAATACGCTATTCAGTTACACTATTTTCTTTCTCTCTCTACTTTGATACATGCCATTCTCTTCCCCCATTCCTGAAAACACGATGCTCAATCTCAAAATTTCTCTCACCCATATCACCTACCATTAGTCAAAAACCCCACGCTCTCTCTTCCCTCCAGCACTTTCAGACGACCATTCAGATCTTCAAACTATCAGGCCTACCATTGACAACACAATTGAATTGCTCATCAATAAGAGAACAAGAACTGGATTTGTACAAAGGATAAGACTCATCTGTAACACAATTCCCATCAAAAAAATCACAATTCAAAAAGACTTAACCAAATCTTCATCTCCTTTCTTCACTGACACATCCAAATTTGTCCATTTCTCTGCTTCTTCACCGAAGAAGAAGTGAAATTTTTCTTCACTTCCTTCTCTATAATTCCTTTTTCTCCATTCCCATTTGCATTTTGTCCCCAGAAGAGGACTTTGGTGCTGAATTTTCAGTCTGATTCACATTAACTGGAGACTTTGTAGCCTCAATTGTGCTCTGATTTGCCTTCAAAATTCCAACTTTATCATCAAATTTTTTACTTTGAGTCTGATTCACATAAGGGAAGGGAGGTCCAAAACACAGAAACAGAGAGAAAAAGAGAGAGGACGCAGTAGAATTCGTCCATATGAAGATTTATCTTCATTATTATTTAGTAAATAGATGAAGAATCAAAGTCAAAATTAAAACTTGGAGACAGTGAATTTTGAGCCAGAGGAAGACAATATGAGGGGCGAAGATCTGCTGGGTTTATGGTTTTTGCGATGAAAAGAGTTGCTGGTTCTTGGTTTTTACGCTGTATTTTCATGTATTCATTATCTTTTTTTTCATTGTAATTCAATGTATCTCGCTGTATTTCATGTATTTCATTGTATTCATTATCTTTTTTTTCATTGTATTTCAATGTATCCGCTGTATTCTATGTATTTCATTGTATTCACTATCTCGCTATATGCCATGAATGTATTCATATATTTTTTTTAATTAATATAATTTATGTATTCGGATGTATTATATAATTTCTCTGAAGATTTCTATGTTTTTGGGGTATTTTTCGGTTGAGAATCTTTTTTATAACTTGAAATAAGGCCGTTAAGGTCACATTGACATAGAATAATACGGATTAGCTCGCCCAGTGAGAAAGGCCCTGACCCTGCCAACCAAGTATCAAAAAGAAAGAGAGAAAAATCGACAAATTTTATGTGTTTATAATTGAGTTTGTTGAGTTATATTAGGAGTCTATCATGTTAATTGATTCACTTTTCGTTTAAAAACAATGTAATCCCCTGTTTCACGCCGTGAATACAGTCGAATACAATAATTTGTCCAGCTGTAATCCCATGTTTCACGCCATGAATACAGTCGAATACACTCTAATACAACAACTGATTAGCTGGACTTCCCTGATTCACGCCTATTTTTGCTACTGTATTCATGAATACAGTAGCTTAAATACATCTAATACATCTTATAACAACAAAAAACGTATCTACAATCCGTAATATAGCAAATGGTATCTATAGATAGCTAATTACCACTAAAAAATAATGCTTTATGAAAATTTCTGTTGTTTGATTACTATTCCGAAAATTGGCTAGTTCATGCTATATTCACCAAATTAATCTGGTCCTACTGCTTGTTCTGGGCCCAATAACTCTTGTCAGCCCAACAGCTACTTGTGTGAGATTGGGCTGTTGATTCATAACAAAGGCACACTTGTCAAAACGACAAGTCCGCGTCTTTCACAAAACCGCCACTGCCTCAAAATAACACCTCTATTATACAATCGCAAATTCCAGAATCCAGAATTCCAGATTCTACGCAACATTTTCTTCATTCGGTTGACAAAGGGAAGAGGGTTTCTTTTTCCGATCAGAAAAAGATGGCACTGAATCCTCAACTATTTCCAAATGGAATGCCCGTCCCTTTCCTCAATGAATTGTTTGTCCTTTCTAGAGATGGTGTTGAGTTTGAGATCGATAAAATCCCTGGGTAACCGACCTAACTATTATTTCTCTGTTTTTTCTCTCTTTTAAATTTGTTATCTCTGAAAGAATCTGGCCGAAATGGAGTAAAATTGGATATTTTGGAATTAGGACTGAAAGAAAATAGTTTGGGATTGAGGTTTAAGTATAGATTCTATCTTTCTATTGTTTCTTTGGATTTGTATATAGTGCATCATTAATTTTTACCATATTCATTTCGTTAATTGTTATCCTTAATGGGTTTCTTTCTGTTGAACATGATTTTTTTTTTTTGTGATTCTGATTTCTGCTTTAGAGATTACTAATAAATGTTATTCATTTTTCCTTTAAGAAAAGGGGTGCACAAAGTGCTTTGTCTAGTGCCTGGTAGAGCAGAGAAGCTACGTAGAGCTAAGGGCAACAGGGCAAAATGCGTTTTTTTGGGGTTATATAAACTGTTGAATCCCCTTGACTTAATAGAAGATTCTAGTTTAGTGGCAAAGGGAATTCAAAAATTGCCTTAGATTATAGGTCAAATCTCCAATATCTGAGTTGGAAATTATACCTGGATGTTTATGAGAACTTTTTTTACATTGTTGTTGCTATTGTTTGTTGCTTTATTCTCACCGTTCCTTGTGCCGAGGGTCTATCGGAAACAGCCTATCTACCTTTATATGGTAGGGGTATTGTCTGCTTACAACTATCTTCCCCACACCCCACTTATGGGGTTACAATGGGTTTGCTGTTGTTGTTGTTGTTGAGAACTTTTAGATGATACATTTGGATATCACCTTTTCTTATCTTCTTAGATTTAGGTTCTCCAATACGTTACAATAGCAGTAGTTGGTGCTCCTAATGCATTAGAGGTTTTGCCCGCATTTCTCTACCATGGACACAAAGAGGGTGTTCAAAAAGCAGCATCAATAGCAGTAGCTGCAACAATATAAATTGCACTTTTCAACTTATGCATGCTATACTACTACTACCATTTACTTCCACCTATAAAAAACTATCCACCATTTGTCTCTATTTAATATGGTTATGGGGATGAACTTGCTTGGGCTGCAGTATGAACTGCTCAACATGTGAGTACATATGTCTGTATGATTTTGGGCTTGCTAAGATATATTCACATGGATACTTTAAAAGAATTAAATGTCTTTAACACAGGCTTGGACATTTGATCAGTTGGTAGGTTAGTGCATAAGGAAATTATTTGTACCACTTAGGTGGTAATTAGAAATTGCACAAGGAACTTATTTATCATTTATGTGGATATACGGTATAGAGGAATAAGATAGTTATTACATTTGGCTGTTGAGTTTGCATGGGATGCCTGCATTTGCTTTATTTTGTGTTTAGTTCTACCTTTCTTTGAACACATAATTCTTGCATTGCCCTTTCTCTTTTTCTTTCTCCTTTTCTTTAGTTTCTTTTAGTTCATGACTTTGTGTTGACGAGACTGTTTGCTCACAGTGCAGGAAAAATAAGAACAAGAGGAACGATCTGCTTGTCGAATATTCGGATGGTCTTCGTTGCAAAGAAGCCGGAGGATTTCATTGCTTTTGACATGCCCTTGGTATGTTACACTTATATGTCCTACGTGCTAGCAGGGTCATATGTTGGATTCCGGTTCCTCGTCTGAGAAGATTTTTTCTCGCGGATCAGAGAAGGAAGACACAAAACTTTCTTTTACTACTCTTACTAGAATGTCAAGAAGTTATTATCAAAACCATAGTAAAGGGGAAATATAAGTAAAGGGGTAACGTGTTCATCTCTGACTCCATTGATAGTTTCCCAAAAGTTAAAAAAGGTGTAACCTTGTATAGCATTCCATGAAAATCATATGTAACCGGAACAAGAAATGCATAATGTGCAATTTAGGATATGGTGGTTTAGAGGGGGAAAAAAGAAGAAGACAATATTCTTATCCCGAGTTGCTTTACCTGCGTGTGTGCCACTTGCATTACTGCAGGTGGCAGAGCATTAAACATTTGAATTTTGCATTCGTCGTAGCCCCGACGTGTATAAGATACCTAAAAGTCTGTTGTCTAGTTGATGCTAGCTTCATATAGCATACTATTTCTTGTGTATATCACCTTAGATTCGGCTCTGTCCGGTGTTGGTCAATCTTGCTGCAGTGCCTTTTTTTGTTGTTGGGATAAGGTTGCTTCTGTAGTTTCTGGTACTTCCTCTGTTGCTTCATGTCCCACAGTTTTCCTAGTGTTATGCTTTGCTGAATCCTGTTTTTTCTTGCTTTCTTTTTTGTTAATCTTTTAACTCTTTGTTCTCAAAATAATCCTAGATAAATACAAGCTACTTTTGCTTGACCAAGTTTAGCTTCATTCTGCAGCTCTTTATTCATGATGAAAAATTTAATCAACCAGTATTCCACTGCAACAATATTTCCGGACATGTTGATCCAGTAAGTTGAATAGATAAATTCAGATATGTTCGGATTATGTGCACTACTTTAGATGATGATTGATTCTGGTCAATTTCAGGTTGTTCCAGATAATGAAAACAGGGCTTTGTACTCCACACATTCATTCAAGATTTTGTTCAAGGAAGGTGGTTGTGGGACTTTCGTGCCATTATTTTTCAATTTAATCGCCTCCGTGAGACGATCTCAGCAACAGTCCAGTGCAGAGCCACGGGTGGATCCTCTCCAAGCTGCACAAACTCCAGTTGATGAGATGATGAGACATGCGTATGTCACATTGCTTGTACCTTTTACAATAAAAATTGTTGAAGATCCTTTTTCTCAATATGCTAGCTGGTGTTCTGAATACTTACTGTGTTTGTCAATTTTGCAGTTATGTTGACCCCAATGATCCAACCAAAATCTACTTGCAGCAGCCTAATTCAGAGTCTCAACTCAGGCGTCGATCATACCAGCCTGCTTAAAACTCGGATATACCTCTTTGTTTAAAGTTACCTGAATTTCGCGTTTTCTGAGATACTTCTTTTAGGCTGATTGCATCAATTCTATATATAAAGGAGACATGGAGCTTGCATGTAAAGCTGGTATATATTTCTTTATGAGTGTGCATGGATTATAATCTATTTCATGGGTATGTAATAGCCATCAGATTTTGAAGCTAATGTTTATTACACGGGCGTGTATTGTAGCATATATGTATGTGTTGTAGCCATATTAATTTTTTGCATTGCAAGTGCTGAATACCTTGTGCCTACCAAGGAAATTTGACAAACTAATACCTGAGTCTCATATACACCACTACAGAGGGATGTACTCCAAAATGAGTAAGAATAACAACCGAAAAGGAGTACAAATGGTACAGCATGTTTCTGAATAGAAGATATGCTACAAAACTTCTCAGTACGGATCACCTTTTGTTTTTCTCGCCAAAAAGGAAAAACATTTCCATCTAGGATACAAATGAACGAAGCCTAGTAGTTAAATTTGCTTTAGAACTTTTTCAGCTGCAGCTACTGTCCTTTGAATATCCTCTGAAGTGTGTGCTAAGCTAGTAAATCCAGCCTCAAACTGTGATGGTGCAAAATATACACCTTCCTCTAGCATTCCCCTATAGAATCTGCCAAATTTTTCTGTATCACTCTTCTTTGCATCCGAAAAGTTATTGACAGGACCCTCCGCGAAAAAGAAGCCAAACATCCCCCTTATGTACCCGCCACACATTGCATGACCGGTCTTCTTTCCAGCATCCAAGATTCCCTGTGTAAGTTCACCGGTGATCTTGTCCAAGTACTCGTATGTACCCGGTCCCTGTAACCGCTTAAGTGTGTGAATTCCAGCAGTCATGGCCAATGGATTTCCACTTAGGGTCCCGGCTTGATACATCGGTCCTGCAGGTGCTACCATCTCCATAATATCCCGCCTTCCTCCGTATGCACCTACTGGCAAACCACCGCCGATAATCTTCCCAAGTGTCGTCAAATCTGGACTTATTCCAAAATACTCCTGAGCTCCGCCGTATGCCAACCTAAATCCAGTCATGACTTCGTCGAAAATAAGAAGTGCGTCATTTTCTTTGGTGATCTTGCGAATGGCAGCAAGAAAATCTGGGTTAGGTTGAATGAAGCCAGCATTTCCAACAACAGGCTCAAGAATTATAGCAGCGACTTCGCCTTTGTGCTCCTCAAAGAGGCTCTCAACAGCAGAAATATCGTTGTAAGGTGCTGTCAGTGTATCATAAGTAGCTGCTTTTGGAACTCCAGGGGAGTCGGGGAGTCCTAGGGTGGCAACACCACTGCCTGCTTTAACAAGAAATGGATCAGCATGACCATGGTAACAACCCTCGAATTTGATGATCTTAGGGCGGCCAGTGAAAGCACGAGCCAGCCGTAGTACTCCCATACATGCCTCTGTACCAGAGTTGACAAATCGAACCATTTCTATGCTTGGAACAGCTGAAATAACCATCTCGGCCAGAGTGTTTTCAAGGAGACAGGGAGCACCAAAACTAGTTCCTTTCTTCATTGTTTCAGCCAATGCTGCTAACACCTGCAGGAAATGGTCATACCAGGATTGTTGCGTCAAAAACAACGGAAAAAGCAACACAAAATTTCACTCTCTTGTCTTCGTCCCTAGACCTTCCACAATCCACAACGACCAAGACCCTCCCCCCAAATAGTGCTAAGACATTCACAAGACTCTCTTTCAACCACGTTTCTCATTGTACAACGCAATAAGACAGAGAGGCATAGAAGATTTTGAGGTGTCTTGCACAATAGTTATTAAAGCTGAGCTCAAGATAATCCAGTTGACATATCGGTCTTCTTCTCTCAGAAAGGAGGAGAAACAAGTGGAGGAAGCATTTAGACGATTCCCACCTAGGTCCACCATGTTCTACTTGAGTCTTCACTTTATCATGAGAACTGTCTCTGACACGAACGTCATAGTGTGACCTCCATTTAAGAAATGAACAACCATATGTTCTTGCAACAACAACATCATACCCAGTGTAGTCCCACAAGTGGGGTCTGGGGAGGGTAGAGTGTACGCAATCCATACCCCTACCTTTAAGAAGGCAGAGAGACTATTTCCAGTAGATCATCGGCTCAGGAAAAGGGTACTTGGTAATCATAAAATCCATCTAAGCCCAAAAAAATTCCAGGATAAGGGTTCTATTAAAAGAAACTTTTCTAATGTAATGGGCGCCCCCCCAAAAAAAAACTTTTAGATTGTGTTTCTGAAACATGTTACCAAATACAAAGCATGCAGATGCAGTTATGAGCCAGGCCAAATAAATGCACAGTGAATGAAATTTCAAGCTGAACAGTGAACATAGAGTTAAAAGCAGAAAATTGAACCTCGTCATCTGCATGACCGATTATAGCTGGACCCCATGATCCGACATAGTCAATGTACTCGTTACCATCTATGTCCCGCATACGAGAGCCCTTCACGGAGTCAATAATGATAGGTTGTCCACCAACTGACTTGAAAGCACGGACTGGGGAATTTACACCTCCTGGCATCAACTCCTACCAATAGTGAAACACGAGATGAAAATCAGTGCAGTGTAGGGACTTGAAATCAATAAAACTGAGCTGGAATCTTTTCTGCTTCCAATTATTTATTTTTTGAATATTATGCCGTTAGAAGTTCTATATAGAAATTTGAGCACAACACAAAAAGAATAGCATGAATCAAGTGCATCTTTGTAGTTAAAGGTTTACACCATATAACTGAACACTTATTTTAACTTGTATTTTCAGGACCTCCTTTTGATGCAAACAACCATAGACAACTAGTTGAAAGTGCAATTCCCTTTTCAAACAAAGGATTGTACAATCCGTTCTTTCTCATGCGCATTTTCCCTTTCCCCCATCTAGAAAATGTGATAAGTTTTAGCGTCTTTCCCTTATAAGTTCCAATCTCAATAAGTTACATCAGAAGATACGTTAAAAATATAAGAATATGTAAAGGGAAAAGAAACCAACTAAAGCAAAGACACACATTTTGCTACATTATCAGATTACTCAGTATATCTCCTCTTTGTAGTCAAACACCTACAATTTTCAAGAAACTTAAACTGTGTAATAAATTGTGCCTTTTCAGCACAACTACACACCTAAAACATACTCAAGATTCTGGAGACACATACAGATTGCAATTCAGTTATAACTTATTATGGAGGATAACCACATTGTATATCAGCAGGGTGGAGCTAAGTTGAGGAAAGAGGGTTCAATTGAATCCAATTGGCCGCAAAATTACACCGTGTAAATAGGGCAAAAATGAACTTTTTTACTTCTTATTATATTAAACTATTGAATCCCCTTAACATAAGCAAAAATTCTAGTAAAGTGGCAAAGAAGGTTCAAAAATTACTATAGATCATAAGTTTAAATCCCACGTGTGGCATTTTAGTACGTTTTTCTTTTTTGTTGAATCCCCTTGTATAAATTCCTGGTATATAATAGTTCAAAAGCGAGAAGTCAGGATTCATATAACCTAATCCCAACTTGTTTGGGACTAAGCCGCAGTAGTTATTATTGTTGTTTATTGTTAGCTTTGATCCAAATCCTGTATGTGTCTTTAAATATCTATTCAATATGTACAAATTATCAATTTAGAAACAAATAACTTAAATAGACTACAATCCCAAACCCATAAGTTTCAAATTCTAGCTCCGCCTCTGTTCAAAAGCATTAGTTCTGCATCAGTTCATTAGGTAGATGCCAATCTTGGCATCAAAATCTCCTTATTCTTTCCCTCAGCCTTAACGCTAGCATTTTTACTAACAATATTAGCATAAAAGATTGAATCTTGAAGTAACCCAATTTCAAAACAAAAACTAAACACTGAACAATAACCATACAAAAAAAGTCAAATTATACCTTGGCTTTGCTGAAAGCTTCTTCAGACTTTTGAAGAGTGAAAGTTTTCTTCTTTTCATCAATTGATGCTGTCATTTTAATTGTTGAAGAAGATGGGGTGCATCGGCGGGGAGATGGAGAGATTACCCATTTGGGTCTTTGACTTTGAGTCAATTTTGATGGCCATGAAATTCCTACACCATTTATAGCAGCCATTTTTACCAACTGTGTCTCTCTCTCTCCCTTTTGAGTTTTCTTGAGTTGGTGCAGCAATGGCTTTTTGTTCTGAATTCTTTGGTTTTTAAAATGGCTTTGTCTTGACTTCTGATGAAGATAAGGAAAAGTAGATAGAGAAATCTTAAAGAAAACGAAAGTGACAAAATTTCTAAGAAGTCGGAAAATTGGGCTTGGCCCATGGTTCAAACATCTTCTTTATGGAAGATTTACATAAATATCACCTTTTAAGAAATATTTTACATCCTTCCTCCCCCCCCCCACCCCCCCACCCCCCACAAAAAGGAAGATTTCAGACAGCTATTTAACTTTTGTACCATTTAAATAATTTTTACAAGAATAGTTTAACGAGGCATAATTGGGAGAAAATGACAAAAACGGTCCCTTATCTTTCGAAAATTTATGATGGTCCTTTAAATATACGCTTATCAATTTTATTCCTTTAAGTATTCAAAAATTTGACAATTTTAATATCCATCCATTTAAAAACTAAAACCGTTAGTTTATTGCCCCCAACTAGCTTATCTCCCGCTGCTACTAAATTGTACAAGGCTTGCACAAAACATGAAATTATAGCATAGAAAGACAATCGTCGATGCAATGAATCCTATTTACTTGAATCGTGTCTTTCTTAAGGAATCGTGCCTTCTTATTAAGACATCAAAATGTCATGAACCTTTCTATACAGCTTTGAGGGAACAATTTTGCTTTCTTTTTTCTTTTTGTCTTTTCTATTGATAATCACGTGCACATTCTTCTTTCCCGAAACAAGGATGCTTTCAGCAAAAAAGAAAGAAAAAAAAAAAAACAATTTTATTAAGTCACGACGAACTGAAAATCATCAAACAGACTATCCATGTAAATCTTTGTCTATTTGTTGAAGTGTTGAAAAACACATTGTTCCAATAGGTTAGAACTGGTAGGAATGCTCATTGTGGCGTTCTCAAAACTGGATTTGATGATAACTTGTACGTTTCGAAATGTTTCGATTCATATGAATGGCTCTTGTGGTGATGTATTGTGCGCGGTGAAGGTGTTTGACGAAATGTCTGTGAGGAACTTAGTTTCCTAGAATTCCATGTTGGATGGA